GACAGCTGGGCATAGCCAGGGGCAGAGGGGCGCTAGGAAACGCCGTCCCTACCTGGAAGGTCTGTTGGTCTAATGCAGAGGAAGGTGCGGTGTCCACATCAGCAGCATCCGTGTCTTGTGGGGCTGGGGCGGGCTGGGGTGTGGGATGGCTGACTCCAGGGAGGGAGGGCCTCCCTGTGGGGGGCTGGGCCTGCCTCCTTGGACCTCCCCATCCCACCCATCCCAGCCCCTCCAGGCTCTGGAGAGGAGGTGCTGCTGCCCCCCTGCACCCCTCTCAACACTCCAGCAGCCCCCAACCCCTCCCCAGCCAAAGATAAGCAGACCCTTGGTCTCAGCGCTCAGCCCGGATGAGGTCAGAACGTTTCAGAAGGGTGTGCCAGAAGTAGGGTACAAGGGGGTTGGGGCCACCTGTTTTCTCTTCTCCACCAGCAAGGCCAGGAGCTTCTGAGAATCCAGGCTAGAAGGGTCCCTGGGGCTTAGCCTTGCTGACCCTCCTGGGCTCTTAGGAGTATGTCCCCTAGGAGTGTGGCTTCTCCAGGCTGGGGCCCACCTCCCAGGCAGCAGGACTTCCAGCCAGGGAGGGCTAAGCCCCAGCCGGGAAGTCGCTTTGTTCCCTGCTGGACAGTGAGGGCAGCTGCCTGAGGGAAACCGTGCCCGTGACCTCTGCTGCCTGCTGGCCTGTAACATGGGCAAAGTGCTGCCCCTCTGGGGAGCAGAGCAGCACCTCCCCGCCTGCCCCCGGCCCATCTGTAAAATCAGGAGACTGGATTTGCAATTCCGTCCTCCATGCAGTCCCGCTCCAGTGGGGGAGCTGGACATCTGAGCAGAGATGGAGGAACGGGGAGCGGTGTGTTCTGCAGACCCCGAGGGAAGGGCAGATGTGGGTGCACGGAGGCTTAGCTGGGGCTTGGAGGAGCAGCGAGGCGGCAGCGAGGCCGCGGTGGCCCAGCAGGCCTTGAGAGCCAGTGGGATTCCCCGAGGCTGCCAGGGCTCCAGAGGCAGAAGCTGTTATCCCTCCTTTTCCGGTGAGGAAACCAGCTCAGAGAGGCTGATAGTTTGCCTGAGGCCTCTCAGCAGAGGGTGAAAGCCAGGTCTACTGATGCCAGATGATTTACCACGGGTCACACCAGCTGAGGCCTTTTCAGCGCTGAGCTTTTCTGAGGCTGTGATTTTGCCCAAGTTCACTGCCAGCTGGGCTTTGTCTTTCTTTTTTTTTCTTTGAGAGAGTCTGGCTCTGTCGCCCAGGCTGGAGCGCAGCGGTGCCAGCTCGGCTCACTGCAGCCTTCACCTCCCGGGTTCAAGCAGTTCCCCTGCCTCAGCCTCCCAAGTAGCAGGGATTACAGGCACACACCACCATGCCTGGCTCATTTTTGTGTGTGTGTATTTTTAGTAGAGACAGGGTTTCGCCCTGTTGGCCAGACTGCTCTTGAACTCCTGACCTCAGGCAATCCTCCGGCCTCAGCCTCCCAAAGTGCTGGGATTTCAAGTGTGAGCCACTGTGCCCGGCTGCTTTGTCTCCTTTCTGTGAGCATTCTGTATCCCTCAAACCCAGGACCCTGGATCACCGGCTTCCTGGGATGAAGCTGCTGGCCTGGATGGGGACCACTGGCATGAGGGCGTCAGGTACAGTGACTCGGCTCAGCCACAGCCCCCACATCAGGCCCAGCTGGCTTCTCGTTTTGAAAACGAATTACCAGGCTGGGCATGGTGGTTTACGCCAGTGATCCCAGCACTTTGGGAGGCCAGGGTGGGTGAATCACTTGAGGCCAGGAGTTTGAGACCAGCCTGTCCAACATGGTGAAACCCTGTCTCTGCAAAAAATACACAAATTAGCTGGGCATGGTGGCAGGCACCTGTTGTCCCAGCTACTCAGGAGGCCGAGGCACAAGGATCGCTTGAACCCGGGAGGCGCAGATTGCGCAAGACTCTGTCTCAAAAAAAAAGAAAATCAATTACCAGAAACTTGTAAAGTATAAAGATGGAGACAGGGAGGTGAGAACCAACCACCTTGGTACAAGGGAGGCGGAGTCAGGGCTGTAGCCGAGGCCAGAGCCGGGCAGAGGCGTGCGGAGGAGGCGCCCGGCGGGCTGGAGGGAAGCAGAGCTCAGGGCTGCCCGGCGCCCAAAGGCGGTGCACCGTTTCCGATGTGGAGGTGCAGGCAGTGGGCAATGGGGGAGGAGAAGCAGGGTGCCAGCGCAGGGCTGTGGCCTCCTCACAGGGTGGCTGCTGCTGCCCCACAGGTCTGCCCACCTCCAACGCCAGGCACAACCCAGCTGGGAGCGAGAAGGACCCGTCCTCTGCCCAACTCTCCGACATGCCCACAGAATCCCAAATGGAAGAGCTGACAACCAGGTACCCCTCACCCGCCTTCCTGAAAGGGTGGGGTTGTCTGGGTGGAGGCGCCTTCAGGGGCAGAGGGGCTATGTCCCTCCCCTTGCACTTGTGATGCATTTGCCCAGAAGGCAGGTCCTGCTTGGTCCTGGATTCCAGGCCTGTCATTCAGGGACAGGCCTTCAGAGGACAGAGGGTCCGGCCCAAACGCTGATGACCCATAGTCAGAGAGAAAGTTTATCAAGCATGAATCACTAAACTCAGTTTCTCGCCAAGTCAAACCTTTTAAGATCCCACGCAGCCATGGGAAAGGAAAGACAGGACCCTCTACCAATCAGAACTCATTTTCTAAGCTGTCTTGAGGCAGCTTAGTGTTGCGGGGAGCCAGGCCCTTCGAGAGGAATCCACGGTATCCCCGAGTCTGTGAGAGGATGGCATGGGTCAGAGGGACCCTGAGCCTGAAGAGCAGCCGTGCTGGCAGCCACATTCCCACCCACGCACCTGTGTGCAGCTCCCGCCACACTGAGCGCTGTTTCTTGTGGTCCAGGCTGGCCGTCCAGGGGGAGGAGAATGAAATGCTGAAGGCTGCCCTGGCCAGTGCCCTGCAGGGAAAGGAGGAGGACTTCCGGATGTACCGCGAGATCCTGGGCCAGGTGAAAAGTGTCTTCCTGCAGGCCCTGCGGCAGCAGAAGACAGACAAGCAGTAGGTGACAGCCCAGTGTCGGCCTGGCCGGGTGGGCAGCCTTGGGTGCCCCATAGCCACACACCCCAGCTCCATCTGCTCCGGGAAGCCGGCCCAGGGTAGCCAGCTCAGCTGCTGCTACCAGAAGGGGCTCCTTCAGGATGACCAAAACCGACGCCGCAGGCCAGGAGGGCAGAAGAGAAGCCCTGGAGGGACACTGAGAGACCCTGCAGGCCGGCCGGGCTGCAGCAGCGGAGAGGCACAGCGGCCCGCTGGCAGAGGTGACAGCTCCAGGACAGCAAGGTGGCTGCGTATGACAGACGTGTCCCTTGTCCAGGTGCTCGCCATGGACGCCCCGTGGCCCCACACACAGGAGAGCCCTTGGTTACTCTGGCTGGGCACGTCCCACGCCACTGAGCCCCGCCCTGTCCCTCGCCCCATCCCGGCTCCATCTGTAGCCGTCCACGCCCTGCGCAGACTTGGGGCACGGTGCCCTCAGCTGGATTGTCAGCTGCCCTCAGGTTCTGCCCCAGATGCAGACCCTCGGACTTGTAATAATAAGCATTTTCATAGTCACCGCAGCTCCCAGTGAGTAGCATCTACTGTGGAAGTCTGGCCCCACCCAGTCCTCCAGTAACCCAGGGGATTGTCACCCTATTTGACGGATGAAGAAACTGAGGGTCGCAGAAAGAAGCTGAACTAATATTTAACTGCAGTCCGCGACCCAAAACCAGAGTCTTGCCATTGAGGGGTTAGCCAGGGTCGGCATGCCCACCCGCCACTGGGCAGCCCCATCCCAGGCAGCTGCCCTGAGCACCTCCTCCTGCTCACCAAGACTGCGGCTGGTGGGTGCTGGTGGCAGAGGGCTGGGGAGGGCTCGGCTGGAGCTTCAGGCAGCTGAAGGTACAGTGCTCCTTCCTTGCCACAGTGGTCTGGGAGGGCTGCTGCAGGGGACCCTAAGGGTCTGCAGGCCTGTGTGTGACTGTCACAGTGTTGCCCTTTCTCAGCTGTAGCTACGCAATTACAGCTACAGGAATGAGTGTCCCCACAGAGGGTCCTCCATAGCCACACACGCCAACCTCAGATACCCCGGCCACACATGTATACCCACAGGCCCACACGATGCTGCAGATGCACACAAGTACAATTCAGGAGCGTGCAGCTGTGCACGCACACAGGCCTCTCCATGTGCACACTCACGGAGACCCTGGTGCAGAAGAGCACACGTGGCTGTGGACACATTCCCACAGGTGAAGACATAGCCGCTTGTGTGTTGCTTGTGCAGTGAGGCACAGATGCAGGTGCCCCTACTATGAAAACAGCCCCTTCCCCAGGAAAAGCCGTGGGGCTCCTGGAACCCTGTCTTCTCAGCCCCTTCCTTGGGGGTGGGGCTCCGGAGGGACCTGGTGCCAGCTCCCACTCCTCAGGAGGCCTCTGACCCTGCATGGAGCTCCCACAGCCAGGAGAGCAGCGGCCACGGAGATGAACTGGTGGTTCTTACGGGGCCCTAGGGGTCTGCAGGAAGGAAGAGTTTTCTCTGGTTCCTTGTGAAGGAAAATGGCCAGAAGAGAGTCGGGAGGGAGAGGATCTGTGCTGGGAGGGGACAGTGTGTGACAGCGAGGGGTGGGCCTCAGGGATGCTGGGTCTGAACACCTTCTCCTGCAGCACTGGGGAGCCCAGAGGGTGGTGAGTGTGTGGGGTGCAGGCTCCGGCCTTAGGGCAGCTCAGGGAGTGAGAGGCAGGTGCAGGACCAGCCGTCCTTCCTCAGGGTCACCTCAGGGAAGTGCAGAGGTGGTGTGACCTACACGCCAGCCTTTCCAGGGTGGTTCTGCCGCCCTTCCTGGGCTAGATCTGAGAGGAAGGGGCGTCAGTCATGGAGTCTGAACAGGTGGGGGTGCCTGGGGCATGCTTCTCTCCCCACCTACCAGCTGTGTGGCCTTGGGCAAGTAGTGTAACCTCTCTGATCCTCCACATTCTTATCTATAAAATGGGGACAATAAAATCCTCCCTGGGGGGGCTGTTATTAACATACATGTCAGTAGCCCAAAGTTGTTTCAATAATTATTAGTTCTCTGTTTATTTCTGTACAAGGGACGTAAAGCTATAGATTGATTTCAACAAACGTTATATAAGAAAGAGGGGAGAGAAAAACTGCTGATGGGCAGGCACAGGAAATCTCGTCTGCACATTTGGGCAAACCGATTCCAGCCAACTCTGGGTATAAAGACGAGTGTTCCAGTCTCCAGACTGTAGGGGCGGCCTGGACAGACTGCTGTGTGCCGTGCGTGGGAGTCCCTGTCACGCCTGCCGGCACCTGCACCAGGCACCTCCCCACCCCCAGCTTGGCTAGATCAGGTCTGCTGCATTCCCCCATGGGAACCCTCTGCAGGGCTCACTGAAGTGAAGCAGCCGGTGCCAGAGCAGCTGCTGGCACGCAGTAAGTGCTCAGCAAACACTCGCTCTCCGTCTTCCCTCCACTCGCTCCCCAGAACTTGAGCAGTTCCTCTGCCCCAGGCACAGAGGTGCCACGGTGAGGCAGGCGCAGTCCCTGGCTTCCAGGAACTCCCAGGTCAGCTGGGGAGAGACACAGACTGGTCACAGGTCACCGTTCCATCCAGCCAGTCGGCCACCAGGCCGTCTGTGAGTGCCAACAGCATGCCAGCCTCTGCGGGCCTGGGAGGGGCCTGCAGGTGAATCTGACTCGTTTCCTCCTTCCAGGGAATTCCCAGTCCAATCAGAGGCATGGGAAACGCCGTGATGGAGCTGGGCGGGAAGGGCGCCTGGCCCCAGACTGCAGCACGGGGCTACCCCCTCCCCCGCCACCGTCCCCACCCCGTCCCTGTGGTGGTTCCCAAGCTCCCAGCTTCCCTGATCAGATCTGGGTGGAGAGGGGCTGACAGGGAGCCCTGTGTCCTTCACACCTCCCTGAGCAAAGGAGCAAGGATGGTAAAGGGAAGGCAGGGAGAGCCTGTGAGAAAGATTTTCAAGGGAAGGAGGTGGTCAAAGGTGTCAAGGATAGGGACCCTGAGAAACCCAACCCAGGTGAGCCAGGCACAGAGCCAGGCAGTGGGCCTGTCAGGTTAGTGCCCGTCCGCTCCCAGGCAGCACGTCTGTCCCTGGCACCCTGAGGATGGCCCCCCGATCCCTCAGGCAGGTGGGCAACAGGTGGGGGGCCGAGACGCCAGGGGCGCTGGCCAGGGCCTCGAGGTGGCAGCTGGAGGAGAGAGTGCAGGTGCCTTGGCAGGTTGAGGGGCAGGGCTGAGTGAAGAGTTACGCGGCAGGGTCGCCTCGCGTGAGGGCGAGGGCTCTTCCTGGCACCCCAGGCAGGTGCTGCAAGTCTCGGTGCTCAGGTTCCAGCACTGACAGGTCAGACCTGGCGGAGCCGTGGGTGTGGTTTGGCCACTGTCCCCATGGGGGCCTCTGGACAAGGTTGCACCTGGCTCAGGCTTCCTCAGACACACTACATTGCCACTGGGCCCCTCCCCTGCTCCCAGGAGGCCAGGGCAGGGTGACCTCCAGTGGATGTGCTCCCCTGGGCCCCCCACAACTAGGGGCTAGAACCAGCTCCTCCTCCCCGCCCCTGGCCAGCCCACAGCCAGCTCTGAGCACGAAGTCTGCCCACCTTCTCCCACTGTTGTGCCTTTATAGGCACTGTCTCTATGATATCCCTCAGCCTTGCACACACACACACACACACACACGCACACACAAAACACATGCAGAGTGCACACATCACACATGCATGTACGATACATGTGCACACACAAGCAATACACACAGCGCACACACTCAGCAAACACACACCAACCGTGAACAACATACAACACAAAACCACACACAGACTCCACACACATCTGGTCAAACACAGTCGCACACACACTTGCAAACGCAGAGGGTACTTTCCTACCGTTTTTATTTGGAGCAACAAACAGCCGAAAAAGCACTGAAAAAAGACTCGGGTTTGAGAGAATGCCCCACCCCCCACGGCATCTTTTCCAGGGCCCTTGTGGTGTTTGGGAGGTGGCCCCAGGGCCAAGCGCTGGTCGTAGTTCAGGCAGCTTCCTGCCCCTCGTGTGGGCTGGCCTCGCCAGGTGCCCTCCCCTGCCACCCCTCACGGGTCAGATCATGGGGCCTCCCTAGCCCTCCACCCCCTGCCTTTCCCGCCCCCCACACTCCCTGCAGACTCTGCCGTGCGCTGGTCACCCGGGAAACCCTCACTGCTGTGTGTGAAACCAGCCTCTCTGGGCCTTGGGGGCCAGGCTGGCTGTGGCTCTCTGTTTATGAGCGAGGCCCCTGTCATGGGGTGAGTCGCCGGTACCCCTGCCACCCCCGTGAGGGCCAGAGCCAGCGGTATGCCCATTTCACAGCTGAGGGTCTGAGGCCCAAAGACGTAGGTCACGCCAGCTCAGGTCAAGTCAATTGGCTGAACCTGTGTTCTTAACTTGGGTCAAACCACCCTGTCTGCTTCCTCCAGCCTCGTGAGGGGCCCGGTGTGGGTGCGCAGGCTTCTCACCCTACAGGGCGGTCAGTGCCAGGAGCTTACGGGGCTTCCTCAGGTACCAGGTTCTTCCACCTGCAGACAGTGGTGACGCCTTCCCTGTGGGCGGTGATGACACTGAGAAGTTAATCCCTGTACGTCCTGCTGCTGTGATTAACTTACTCCTAACAACCACTGACTCCTCCTCCAGGAAGCCCCCCTTAAGCCCGAAGTCTGGCTCGGGTACCGTTCCCTCCCTGGTGCTGGTCTCTCTGGTGGCCATTACCCATCGTGGCGTTAACGCAGCCTACACTGCGCGGTGGCCAGCACTCACGCTTTTCCGCGCCCTCTGCGTCCTGCGTGGCGTGTGTATGTTGGGAGTCTCCTTGCTGTCCTTCCTGGGCCCTGGTGGGTGGGAAGCAGCGCCTCCTTCCTGCCTCCTCAGCTGAGCCTGAAGCTGGGGTCACAGGATCAGCAGGGGCTCCAGGAGCTGTCCTGTGACTGATCACAGCCATGGAGCTCCTCCCACCCCTCAGATCCTCCCCACGGCACACGTGTGTTCAGGCCTCCATAGATGGCGCAGACACACACAGCTCCCCATGACTCCGCCTCATCCGAGAGGGCACTGTCAGAGGTTCTTAATCTCAGGAGCATCTTCAGGATACTCCTCCCCTCAGGCGTCCAGGGCTGATGCTCCCTTCCAAAATGAGGACCCTGTCACAGCAGGACCCCCAGTTGGTCAGGAGCACTCTCCTGTCTTCCTGTCTGCCTCCATTCTGCCATCAAGAGGATGCCAGCCATTCTAAGTACCCACAAGCCTTGCCAAGTGACCCTGCTGGCACCCCCCTCCAGGACACTCCATATGGGACAGGGCTGGCCTGCGGGGACCCCTCTCAGCCACATGTGCCATGCCACTTCCAGTCCCATCAGGCAAGCCAGCCCTCCCTCAGGCACTGATGTGTGGCCTGCCAGGACTCATTCCATAATGAAAAGGACCAGGGCAGGGGGCAAGATGCGTCTGCCCTGGGATAGTCCCCAGGAGGTATTATGTAAAGCGGGGGGGCGGCTGGAGTCCCTGGAGCCCAGGTGTGAAAG